CAAAATTAGTACAAAGAGATCTCCTATACCCATCACCCACATAGCTCCTTCAACATCTTACATAACTGTACTATATTATCAAACCAGGAAATTGACATTGGCGGGATACAATTAACTAGACCAATGCAATTAACTAGATTACAAACCTGATTCAGATTTAACCAGTTTGGCAAGGACTCATTTGTGCGTGTCTGTGCGCTTGTGCTAGCACTCCTCTGCAGTTCTATGAAATTGTACCACCTGTACCGTCATATCCATTGATTTTCGACCATCATCACAATAGATCTGCTGCAACCCTTGGCCCCACCTTCTATTCCTTGAAGTAAAGATTAACACGCCTTGTCTTGGGATCGGGCAAGTTCTACATAGGCTTAGACATCAGCTACCAAGAGGGCATCCCAGCATGCACAGAAAAACATGCTTTTCAAGGCTACCCAGCAGCTTAGTCTGTACCACCCTTTGGGATAAAAAGGTCCAAAGCCTTTGGGCACACGTTCCTTGAGAGTGAAGCGCAGTGCTCTTCATCAGAAAGTATCAGGCTTCTAGAAACAAAGACATGATCCCTGCCTGCCTTCAAAGAGGCCATGTAGGCAGAGAAAGAAGCATGTGCCCAAGTCATTCTTAGGGTGTTACTGACATTAGGGTGCCCACGCTCTTGCACAACTGTGTAAGATCATACGGCTTGATTTTATCCTTAAAGCTTGAGGTCCCAGATTTTATTTCCTTGTCTTGAAAACATAGGCCTTCCTTGACTGTTTCCATCTTTCTAGACTTAAAAGCCCAGTATCCTTTTGTCTAGCACACAAAAACCTCTTTACCTTTCCTACTCTTCTCCCAGAGGCCCTTCTCCCCCAGTGCCTTTTGTCAATGTCCTCCCCATCTTTAATGACTTAGTAGCAGTGCCAGATGTTTGCATAGCGCTTTTCAGTTTACAAACCACATTCAAGTACTTAATCTCAGTTGATCCTCACAACTCCTTTTTTCTTCTTCCAGTTTTACTGAGGTATAATTGACATACAGCACTGTATAAGTTAAGGTTTGCAGCATAATTAAAGAAATAGAAAAAAAGTTTTCCTTGTGATGAGAACTTATTTTTTTCTCTTAAAAACTTTCATATATAACATATACCAGTGTTAATTATATTTATCATGTTGTACATTATATCCCTAATACTTATTTTGTAACTGGAAGTTTGTACCTTTTGACCACTTTCATCCAATTCCCCCTTCCTGCCTGCCACTGTACCCACAAATCTGATCGCTTTTTCTGAGTTTGTTTTTGAAGTATAATTAACCTACAACACTATGTTACTTCCTATTATATAGCATAGTGATTCAATATTTCTATACATATCAAAATGACCACAATGAGCCTAATGATGAGTAAGTCACCGTACAAAGATATTATAGTTATTGACTATATTCTCCACACTGTATGTTTCCTACCTGTGACTATTTTGCAACTAAAAGTTTGTACCTCTTAATCTCCCTCACCTATTTCTTTCCTCCCCTCTGGCAACCATCTGTTCTCTTTATCTGTAACTCCTTCTGTTTTGTTATGTTTGTTCATTTATTTTAGATTCCACATATAAGTGAAATCATACAGTATTTGTCTTTCTCTGTCTGACTTATTTCATTTAGCATAATATCCTCTAGGTCCATCTATGTTGTCACAAATGGCAAGATTTTATTATTTTCATGGCTGAATAATATTCTATTATATATTTTTATATACTATATAACATTACATTAATATAATAAATATAAGATCTTACTTATCCATTCATCTATATCCTGTTGCAATTTTTGGGGGGTGGGGTAATTAGGGTTTATTTATTTTTATTTAGTTTTTAATGGAAGTACTGGGGACTGAACCTAGGACCTTATGCATGCTAAGCACACACTCTGCCACTGAGCTATACCCTCCCCACCATCCTGTTGCCTTTTTGATAATAGCCATTCTGATCCTTATAACTCTTCACAGGTCACATAGGGTAAGTTTTTAGTGTTAAAGAGAAAACCACAGGCCCAAGATACCAAATAGATTTAATACCTGATCTAATTGCAGTTTCGACCTTCCCTCAGGATGTGGAGAAAAGGGATCCCTCCTGCACTGTTGGTAGGAATGTAAATTGGTGCAGCAGTTATGGAAAACAGCATTAAGATTTCTCATAAAATTAAAAATAGAACTACAGTTTGATCCAGCTTCCACTCCTTGGTACTTATCTGAAGAAAACAAAAACAGTAATTAGAAAAGACATATATGCATTCCTATGTTCATTGCAGCATTAGTTACAATAGCCAAGATATGGAAGCAACCTAAGTGCCTATGAACAGATGATAGTTTCAGACCCACTAGCCTTTCCCCTCTCTTTAAATGTTGCTCTAAATTGTTCTTTGTCCCAAGGGAATCACCTACTTCTGCTCCATCAGGCTGACCTGTGATTGCTTCACCAGCTGAAGCTCAGCTTCTTGGCAAAGACCACAGTCCTCTAGATAACAGGCATCATACCGCACCCCACACCCTGCCCCCGGCAGTGTGTGCCCCACTCACTGGGGGCCATGACATCAATTATAGTCAGAAAAGTTGAAAGAACTCTACAGTGAATATTTATACATATACCATATAGATTCTACATTTGTCATTTGTTGTTTTATCACACATCCATCTATCCATACCTCTTTCCATCCAATTACCTCTGAATATCCCTTCCAACTGCAAGCAGGAGCTATGCTTGATGACTAGCTAGTCCAATGGTTCTCAGACTTTAACACATCAACCCTGGGATTAAATTAAAATGCAGATTATGACTCAGAAGGTCTGAGGCAGAGCTGAGATTCTGCATTTCAAACAAGCTCCCAGGTGATTCTAACACTGCTGGTCCATGGACTTTGATGTAATAAGGAATCTGAATACGTATCTAACTGAAAAATAAGAAAAGGAAAGTGCCCACAATCCAGGAGCCTTAGGTCCCCACCAAGGCAGAGACTGGGGTGAGGTAAGTGAGGCACCTAGGACACAGCACTCGAGTTCAAGTGCAACCCCTGCACTTGCATGATCCTGAGAGTGTTTCCTTACACTGTGAATCCTAACACATCCCTGGCCCGACCTAGTCCCAGCCCTGGTCACTACCAAGTAACATTTTGGTAGTTATATAACAGATTTCTAGTCCTTCAAACTACTTTCTTTCTTTCTTTTAGTATTTTATGTTTTGTTTATTTTAGTGAATTCCAGTTAGCTACTAAATGGCTTCACCTGACTGAAAGTATCACTCTGGATAATAATGTTTATTTTTAAGTACGTTGAGATTCACAAATTTCAGTAGAATAAACTAACTGCCAAGTGGGCAGCAATTTTCCTTTTTCTTTATATCAGTTTCTGCTAAGGTTGGCTGATTCCTCTATTTTTATTTCTATTTTTCACTGAGGTATAGTTAATTGACATTATATTATTTTCAGGTGTACAGATTATTTTCTAATACACACATATGGGGTTATATTGTACATGATTATACTGTATGCAATTATATCTGCAATATTGCATATGTAGGATTGTACTTTTATTTTTTGTTCATGTTTAAGTCATGATATTTTTAAATCCTTAAGCTCTGAAAGCTTTATCAACAAATTCACTAAATAATCCTGTTCCTCAAAAAAATGTGCATAGTTGCTTTCTCTGGAAAAATTATGAGTGGTTATTATTTCTTTCATATGCTTATCTGTTCTTCCCAAATTTTCCATATTGGACCCTCATAACTTTCAATTTAGTTTTTATTTGTATCAAAGTAATACACCCATGGACTTGAAAAAGACCAAATGATCTGCAAGACTTAAAATGATAAACAGCAGATCCTTGCCCCACCCACTCCCACGGGAGTCAATCAGCAAGCAGCTGCTCTCAATGCTTTTAGTTGTTTCTTCTGTTTACTTCCTTGTTTCTAAATATTACTTTTTCTTATATTTTCATTTTTAGATATTTTTAAGTTTCCTCAGTGAAGATGAGGATTTAACTCACACCACAACTTCCACATAACTTCTTCCACCAGTGCCATTTTCTTTGAATCAATATTCAGTGTTTGTAATGAACCAAGTGAGATAGAATAATTACCATCTTCTTAAGCCAATTTTTGTTTTCCCTGGAGTTAACAATTGTCTCATCTTTTTTTCCCTTGCATAGTTTTATTTTTAAATATCTACCACTGATTTATCTGCAAGCTCCCTGCCAAACTGGAAAGCTTTTATCAGATTATGGTCAAACGGCTCCATTTTTTTCTCTAGGGTAATCTTTCCTGGAACCCTCTGTATTAGTCAGGGTTCTCCAGAGAAACAGAAGCAATAGTTTAGAGAGGGAAAGCGAGGGATCTATCTTTAAGAACTGGCTCACACTCTTGTAGAGGCTGGCAGATTCTAAATCTGTAGGGCAGACTGGAAGGCCAGAAACCCAGGCAAGAGGTGATGTTGCTGTCTTGAGTCTGAAATCCACAGGGGAGGTGA